CACGAACTGCTATAAATAATGCACAAATATTCGTGAAAAGTTGTATTTCGTGTAAGTTATCGGTTTGACTAGATCTTTTAATCCGAAATAAAATCATGTTACTCCTTTCTTCATATCCCTTCAATTAAATCCTAGCCCCTGATCTGCTGCTGGCCTGATTTTTTTAGGAAATTTCTATACAACCCTCGCAGCCTAGCCCGGAGCTTGGAATTAATAAAGACGGGTAAAAACGATCGGATGGTGGGAATTAAATCCTAGCCCCGTGTCTTCTATAAATATTCTATTTTATTGCATTTTTTAGTGAATTAGTTTAACCTGAAGAGTTAGTTTAAAAAACTTGTGAGCAAAATTAAAGCCTCTGAATAAATTTAACCTGAAAAGTTAGTTTAAAAAAATAGTAAGCTAACCAAAGTCAGTGTATGCTCATACTCTTAAATAACAGTAACACAAGAAAAAAAAAAATATACATGTCAGTAAAAATTATAATAAATCAATAAACTAACCAAAGCCAGTGAATAAATTTAACCTGAAAAGTTAGTTTAAAGAAATAGTAAGCTAACTAAAGTCAGTGAATATTTATGATCTTAAACTACAGTAATACAAAAATAAAATACATGTCAGTTAAAATTATAATAAATCAGTATAAAATATTAGATAGTTTATGAATATGATAACTTACGATATTTCATACTATTAATGTGTTTTACTATATCAATATCATATTTATATCACTTTTATTGTTGTACGACCGTCACAAGAGTTTCGTCTAAAAAAATATATCAATTAAAATACTTCAATATTAATATCATTTTTGATATATGTATTTAAGTACTTTAGCGACTAGTACCATAAAGAAGTAATTCTATCATAATCATGCATGCACATACAAAATATATATGTATAGTCAATATAATTCATATGCTTATTATATGACATACAATATAATATATGTATATTTAAATAACACATGATAATTTTTTCTAAAAGAAGACCTAATATTCATATATGACTAATAAAAAGAAGAGTATATAAATCAGGATAAACTGATACATTAATTTATAAATATCAATAACTATTAATGCAACTGATTGTGAAAGACATCAAAATGTTATTATAAATCTAATTTACTAAAATTATAATGATTAATTTATTCTTGAATTTGTCTTAACCTTCACCATTCTAAAATTTAACTAACCATAAACATTAAATTTAATTAATTTATTATTTTAGTAAAACATTAATAATCCAATATTTAAGTATTAACTTTCCATGATTTTTCTTTATATATATATATATTTGAAAATATATGTATAAGATTTACTAAAACTCACCTTTATAACTTAATAACTCTCGATGCAGTTTTCCCCCTTCTGCATGCGGGAACCGGACGTCGTCTTCCTCGGCTGATCAACAACGCAGGAGAGCTCCTTCTCTACAAAGCTGCAACATCTTCTTCGACTCTTTCGATTGCGACTGGACACATCACATGAGACCTTCCTCCGTCAGCTTAGGGCTCGAGATCGAGTCAATGCGCACATAAGATGATCTCCCGCACTCGCCTCCTCTATGCTCGCCGATCACGATAGCTTCTTCCTCTCGTCTTCCTTCGATCGGCCAAGGCTTTGCAGCCATTTCCTCCAATAGAGCCGCAGATGATCTCCCGCACTCGCCTCCTCTATGCTCGCCCATCACGATAGCTTCTTCCTCTCGTCTTCCTTCGACTTCGGGTAAGTCGATGGCGACACTTTATGGAGAGATATTACCCTTTTCGTTAAACTTTCAAACGGCAGGTTCATGTATTACTCAACAAACAATATATCTTTTAAAGTATTGGTCAGACGTTTGTCAAAACTAAATTTCTTTTAAATTTATTATTTTCTGTCTGCTTGCGATTTGACATGAATTACGTTTGCGTTAAACTTGGAATAAGTATTTGTCGCATGACATGTTTCATCTTTGTTTCAATAGTTATCATATTTCTGATTTGAATATTATTTTCTCATTAACATATTTATTGATCTCGCAACTATCATGCACGTCATCACTGGAAGAAAATTGACCTGAAGAAATGGGCTCCGATAATGCGGTCTTGAGACTTCGTCTTCTCGCCAACAGTATTCAAATCAATAGTTGATGTGTTAGTAGCCAGAATACAATGTGGCGGGCAAATCTTCTCGAGTTCATGGAATATAGATTGTTTGAGCGGGACCTTCTCAATAACAGCCTAGAAATAGATTAGAACCGTGAGGAAAACCTTAATAAACGAATCACACTATGAAAAAAGAAGCTCAGAGAAAATTTTCATGGAAGCAACCAAACAGTCAGAAATAAAAAATAAATGGCTAAATATTGATCCCTCTTCTGTTTGCGAGGAGAGTTTAGTTGAAGCATTGTCAGCATTACTACATATTTATATAAAAATGGAATGTTTTTTCTTATGGTTTTAAATTCTCAATTGTAAAAGGAGAGAAAAAATAGAAGCTACCTCTATAACCATATCGACATCCTTAAATTCAGAGTAATCTAGAACACCCTTCAGAAGTGCCAGGGCCTTGTTCTTTTTATCCAATGTTAATGATCCTTTCTTTATCAGTCCTTCAAGATTTGCTGGAAGAAATTTCACCAAGTTATTTATTATCTATATGCAGAAATATACCCGAGCAATTTAAAATCATAATTTCTTGAGGAATGCAAATCTCTTTATATGTAAATATTTTGGGAAATTTACATGCATACCAATCAATTTTTATGTATTTAAATATCTAACACCCAATGTTTAATATTTAGATATTTACACTTACAAGATCTTGGTTTCATAAACCTATGAATGAAAATGTGAATTTTACTATTAAAAAGGTAATGATGATGGTGTTTTTGATATGAGGTTGAAGATTTGAGTTGTGTGCATGTAAATATGAATGT